ATTTATCAAAAAGTCTATTTAATTAAGTAGAACGTGTTTTAAAGCTTTCGTGACTGCAGGGATTCGTATTCTTGGTTTTTTCGGTAAAGTCACGTAGAAGGGAAACAAAATAAAAAAAATCAATAAAATTCTCACAACGTTTCGACTGTAACACAAGCAATCATCATCAGGTGTGCAAACCACAGGAAGAAAATTTGAAAAAAGTGGCGTTTTTTTCTTAATGTTAGCACCACGGACAGCGATTTGGGAGTTGGTCAGATGGACGAGTTCATCTATGTTAGGAAAAGAGGAGGGGGAAGAGGAAGAGAATGGAATGCGGTCTGAAAGTCACCGTAAGCGTAAACACAATCAATTAAGACCCAAAATGGTTTATCAAATCCTCCCAATGATTGCTCAGCCAGAATCTATCTTCTCGGTTGAAATTTGTCTCTGTGTTTGTATATGTGGATAGCCTCATGAACGAATCTCTCATGGTAGCCAGATGGCTTGCAGATAACCTCTGTCTTGGAGAAGTCAATGTCATATGAGCCCACTGAATTGTAACAGTGATCTGCCACGGCTGAGGTGTTTGTCCTACCGTGTTTCAGGTCTGCTTTGTGTTCACGGATGCAGTCCGAGACATGTCGTTTGGTTTCTCCAATGTAACTACTACCACAGAGGCAACTCAGTTTGTAGACGCCAGGGTACTGTATGTACGGAATCACATATTTTACAGACGGAACCAGATCACGGATTTTATGTACTGTGTTGAATCGGACCTGGATCTTGTGTTTATTCAAAAATTTGGAGATCTTTTTGTGATCCCCGCAATGTAGGGTAAGGTGATGGTTTTAAATGGCTCCTTAAGAGGGTCCTTCTTCATGGTTGGAGTTATGGCTTTGCGGATTGTGTAGTCGGAGTAACCAATAGCCTTAAGAGCTTGGTGTACGTGCTTGAGTTCACTGGCAATGTGTTCCTGGTCGGAGATGCATTGGACTCTATGGTGCAGAGTCTTGATGAGGGAATTATTCTGGGATGGATGGTCGTGAGAATACGGTTTCAGGTAAGCATCCGTATGGGTAGCTTTCCTGTAGACAGAGTGGTTCATTGAACCATCAGGTCTCTTTTTTATTAGGACATCCGAAAAAGGTAGCTTGCCATCTTTTTCGACTTTATCGAAATAACCAAGAATATAAGTAGAACGTGTTGTCTATATTTATTTAAAATTGCGCATTCTGATGTGACGTCACATTTCTCAACCACCCCCCCCCCTCGTCACACATCATCATAAATGTCGGACTCCCACACGCCCTAGGTGCGTGACGTTATTTATGGATGCCCCTAAGATGCGGCTTTCTTGAGCACATGTTTCATATTCTTGGTTCTTTCGGTAAAGTCACGTAGAAGGGAAATAATAAAATAACAAAAATAAAACAATACAGTTCTCACGACATTTCGATTGCAACACAATCATCATCAGGTGTGAAAACTACAGCAAATTTTCAGCTTTAAATTGAAATTTCACAAAATGTTTGTTTGTGAATGCACCGAAGACGACACTGGCGAGTGTGAATATATAACTACACGCTTTCTTTTAACTCACTCTGTGTGTTGTTGTTTTTGTCGTTGTTGTTGTCGTTGTTGTATCCTCAAATCTTGGAACTCAAATTTAGCCCACTTCCCAATGTGGTATCGACTGCAAACTTGGTATACTTATGTCATACTGATGACAATACTATATTCTATCATTAAAATATATAATTTTTTTACATTCTTTTTTATAGGTTAGATGTTTCGGCTTGAGTCTAATTGTCCACGCTCAACTCGCGTTGGCTGTAATTGGCCACGGCCCCTTACGTGATGGCAAGCTTCGGGGCCACTTCCTGGAGTCGTGGAGTTCTGCCATTACTCGTACATTTCATAAAAGCGTGTTTAAAAAATTTTTTTTTTTAAATATTACGTATTTTACAGTATAGTGGACTGTTTATTTTATTTGTCAGTTTTTAATTATAATACTGCAGAAGTACAACGTGTAATAATTCTTTTCAATAAAAAATTGTCTGTGTTTACAAAATGAATAGTGAGTCTTGCAGTGTTTCGAGTATGAAATGGTAAGTTACGAACGCTGGGAACGCAACCTCACAGCACTAATGTTACGAGTTATTCAACATACGATGTTTCCATATAGGAACGAAGCTGCAGGAACGCATCTACTTCGTATATCGAGGTATTCCTGTAGTTCTAGTCTTGCACATAGATAGCAGCAGCAGCAATATGTTCATGAGATAAATTGCAATGTCGATGTCTACTATCCATGACGAGAGGGCTTCAGTAGAGAGAGTTCGTGCAGTTTTGCAATTCCTCCTCGGATGAACCATCTCCCACTTAAGTGAAGGAATGTGTGTGTGTGTAATGTCGCCCAAATGTTGTTATATTTAAACAGAGAAGACGCTGATAATCGCGTATATTTTGTACCTAGATTGGGTAACGCAATTAATAAAATATATTACTTCACAGGCGTAACGATCGTTAACGATGAACTTTACACTCGGAAACTTCGTTACCCTCACTTCCTATGGAGCTCTCACAACCAAAGCCACTCCCTGTCCTCTCTCGAGACTCCACTGCCCCCAACTGATATTCAGCCGATTTAAAGCTTTCGTGACTGCATGGATTCATATTCTTGGTTCTTTCGGCAAAGTCACGTAGAAGGGAAATAATAAAATAATAAAATAATAAGATAATAATTAAATAAAAATTAAAATAAAACATAATAAGATAAAATTCTCACGACGTTTCGGCCACAACGCAAGCAGCCGTCCTCAGGTGAAGAACAGGTCTGTCGGGAAGACAGCGTCCTAATGAACCTCGTCGTGAGAATTTCATCTTGTTATGTTTTATTTTTATTATTTGATTATTTCCCTTCTACGTGACTTTACCGAAAGAACCAAGAATATACTATTCACCCCTTGGTAGATCGACTCTGAGACTCACTAAATTGCCCAAACTGACAGCCTCGTGGCTCCCCGTTAACTGGCAGTCAAAAGCAGTTCAAGGGGCCGTCCATAAATGACGTCACGCGATTTTTGACGATTTTTCACCCCCCCCCCGCCGTCACACGGCGTCACAAAAAGTCCCACCCCCCCCTCAAATATGACGTCACAAAGCTCTGCCCCCCCCCCCCCCCAAATATAAAATCGCTTTAAACTATTGTCATTGTAGTGCGTATTTAATGTGGCGCTGCACTCTGATGTTGTAGGAGACATTTTTTAAATTAAAAAGTCTATTTAATTAAGTAGAACGTGTTGTCTATATTTATTTAAAGTTGCGCATTTTTATGTGACGTCACATTTCTCAAATTCCCCCCTCCCCTCGCCACACATCGTCACAAATGTCTGACCCCCCCCCCCAGGTGCGTGACGTCATTTATGGACGGCCCCCTAACTCAATTCATTAGAACTGCTTTTATGTGTGTTGGCTACGTGGTGTGTGAAATCAGTTCAACACACGCACACACATTATTGTTGTGTTTCTCTTGTTAAGGCCGCACGGAGTTGTCATTGACGAACGCGTAGAATCGCATCGCGCTGTGCAGTAGAAGCTGCTGCCGGGGGGAGTTCTAGCGACGTCTAGCGGGCATCGGGGCTCGCTTCATGGAGCTCAGAGCGCGGCCGCAGTAGCTCCTCGCGTCTGGCTCGGTCCCAACTCAGAGAAGACATTTTCCTCCGTCTCAAGGCTGTCTCACGGCTTGTCTTGCTAACGTATGTCTCATATCGTCTCACGGCAAGATAATAAAAGGGCAGCGGATAGCGCCAGTGGTGCAACGCGGGCGCGAACCCGTGTTAGTGTTCGTGTCAGACGGAGGAAGTAACCACTCGGCCACGCCGTCACCCGCTCACCACAGGTGCACACAGCGCATTTAGAGGCGACGCAGGTGACACAGGCGACAGCGAGAATTTCACGGCAACACCGCGATAGGCGAATACTCGAGATGCAAAGTTTCAGTCGAACAAACTTTGGATGTATTACCATTTTGTTAATGGTAAAAAACCCTACAAATCCAACTCAATGAATGAATGATTAAACGAATCATCTATAGAACGATATAATAAGAATTACATCATTATAAGATGCGGGTTTCTTGAGCACAGAATGTGTGTTTACATTTGTTAACTGCCCCAACTGAGAGCCCTCGTGGGCTGTCCACCGACCCCACTCCACCTCGCAACCCAAGAGCTGTAGGAGTGGGGCTCTGTCCACTCAGTGGTGCTGAAAGCGTTCACATTCAGCACCCAGCTCCCCGTTGTGGTGTCACCTCCCTCTATCATACAGCCTCTCAATTGCTTTATTTATTATTGTATTTCACTACATATGTTACGGAAATGTTGAGACATTTTCCGCACAGTACCGTGGCCAAGCGATCTAAAGCGGAGGTGACTGGAAGCTTACATTTTCTTGCTGTGGAATCATCATCAGTGATGATTGCTTGTGTTGCAGTCGAAACGTCGTGATAATTTTTATTGTTTTATATTTATATCATTTTATTATTTCCCTTCTACGTGACTTTACAGAAAGAACCAAGAATTTGAATCCCTACAGTCACGAAAGCTTTAAATCAAAATTTGGAAGCTTAAAGTTCGCCAGTGGCACAATAACCCTTTCTCAAATAAAACACGCGCGTTTTAAAACTCGAGAATTCGCAGCGCTCTATCTCCAGGACAGGTTTAACGAGCGGATGACCAATCCACACGTGACTTACTTGAGTATTACTCTTTGGTTCTTTCGGTAAAGTCACGTAGGTATAAAATAAAACAAATCACGACGTTTCGGGCGCAACACAAGCGTCCGTCGTCAGGTGGGAAAGCATGGTCTGCTGCTGAGGCAGACTGTTTTAAAAAGGTTTGACTTGAGTATTCTTTATGAAGTCAAAATGAAGAGCGACTGAACAAAATCTGATGCACTTAATGGACACCGGTCCGCCGAGTTAAAGGGATGGAACCGTACTATTCTTTATTGCTGTTCTTTCTTTTATTGTTTAAAAAACGCGAGAGCCCCGATACAGCCAGCACGCCGCTAGGCTCGCACGGAGGACGCAGTCCCGACGGCAACCGAACCATACACAGGAGGGGAGATGATAGGTGGGGAGGAGAGTGGCCCCCTTGGCTCAACCAAGTGCGGACACCACACTCGGGGAGAAGATGGAACTTCAAATGGGGATGGGATAACAGGGGAGGGGTGAGTATAACCAACCTAATGAGGTAAACCTAGGGTCGGGGGGGGGGCACCGTATTCTTACTCATGACTTGGCTCTGGTTTAGCTTCTAACTCGGATCCGTTGTGGTTGAAGCTACATACTTTCATAAACGGTACACCACGTGAACGTCTCCGGCTCACCTCCGTGGAAAATCCTGAGCGTGGCTCGGGAGCCGGCTCACTTGAGCCAGAGTACATATACTGAACTTCTTTCACACCATGTGTAGCCATCGGAGGTGCGGGGGAAGGAAAACAAACTAAACACAAAAAGTTGGAAAGAAATTGTTTTCAACTGAGATTTAAAAGTGCATGGCTCCAGTGGCTTTCTAGTTTCGGAAGGAAGAGCGTTCCAGATGGCCGCAGAGGTGCATCTGAAAGCGCACAATGCAGTGACCATCTTTGTTTGATGGTTCGCCAAAAGCTACTGCGAGGGATGACCGGATTTTTCATGATGGCTTATGCTCCTTGACGAGCTGTGACCAAGAATATTGGCCGTATACAGCAGGAAACACTCAGCCACAGAAGCAGAAGATACAGAGCATGTTCCCAGCGGTGCTTCTGGAGTATTTGGAGGTTGCACGGAGATTGATGGGAGATTCAGACAGAACACAGAGCCGATAGTGGAGAAGTCGGGCCAAAGGAGCACAATGAACCTTAAAATTCCGGTTTCCCTTCTTGAAGAATAAATCTGCTCTTACCAGGCTCTGTTTTGCCTACAAATGTCACAATTGCATCTGTATTTCAGATCATACATGTACTTATATTTCGCACCTCCGATAAGCATGGTAGGCTACGAAAGAAGTTCAACGTACATACGTACATTTAAGATCAGTAAGAACTAAGTAGACACGGAGACAACATTTGTTGTTGATGGGTCGGTGAATAAACGAAACCATCGGAGGCACTTGTGCTTGTTACCTGCATTCAGATGGCATCGGGTTTCTTGTGACAAGGAAAATGCTGCAACAATTAAAGAAGATATTGAAAAGGGGGTCATTTATAAATAATGATTACTGAGGCTTTAGACATTGTGAATCTTCACACTTGTGAGTTTGGAGAGTGAAAATGCTCGAGATTACAAAACTGCACTTGCTTGGGACAATGCAGCATAATCATCCAGAACATCAGCTTTGTTTATTAAAAAAAGTTTCCAGTAAAATGAGAACATGTCTTTATAGGGCCCAACGGAGCTTTACTTTGATGAAAATGAAAGTCTTCACTTCATTAATTAACGTATAACCAATTTCATCTCAAACACTCATCTTCAAACCACTTGGGGTTCAGTTTTTGATAGAGTTTAAACTGTTTAATGGCATCGCAGAGCGCTTTCCCACTCGCAGATAAATTCCAGTCCTTCACTTGTTTGTGTCTCCTTGTGGCACTGTTCAAGTTTGACAACATCTGACACATCTTTCCCAGTTGGCTCGTGAGCTTATACGTCTTGGCTGGCGTGAAAACGTCGGGGATATCCTTCTTGTTGCTGACCTCGTCAAAGTACACGACCGCGTACTTGCCCAGCAGGGACGGCGTTCCCAAGTCGCCGCATATCAGTGGCAGCGCCATCGAGAAGTGGTCACCGGCGTGGGACTCCGCTCCGAGCCTCAGCGCTGCGCCCTCCTCTCCGGCACAAGCGGCAGCAGCCCGATGGGCCTCCCATTTGGCAGCGACGCCTCTGGAGCACACCAGCAGCACCCGGCCGCCCGTCTCCCTCGCCGCCTGCCGACGCGCGGCCAGCCACGCGAGTGGCCCGCGGCGCGCGACCTCCACGCTGCTCCAGAGGCCCAGGGCGACCTTCACGGAGCAGTGTGCTTGGACCAACGAGGCAAAGGACAGGATCACGTCCTTGAAGAGAGCGTGGTCCAGCGAGTAAAGGATCAACAGCGTCGGGGGGTCTCGAGGCCGCTCCAGCTGGTGGTCGGGCGTGGTGTGGGGAGGAGACGCGTGGTGCTGCCGACGTTGGTCGCTTTCGCTCGAGCCGCCTCGGTGCACCGTCCACGCTTTCCCAGCTGGGGGCACACGTAGGAAGGGTTATCTGCGCCGTTTTGTTTTTCTCTCTATACCGGTCAAACAACAACGTACGTACGCAGGCACGTATGGCACGTCACTTTAAAAATGCGTGTCACGTTCGGGGTGCCTAGTTGCGGCCTCCTCTAGGTCGACTCAGCCTCAAATTAGTGTGTGTAAACATCGCCACTAGCGAGACAAAGGCGGTCGGGCATGGTGCTGGCCACCCACCCCCTCGTGTACCGTTCCGGCCTTCATAGGTGCTCGCTAACAGCACTTGCCCCTACAGTCTGTTAAGGCTATATGGGGGATCTTTGCCTAGTTGCGGCCCCTTGCAAGATATATAATCAGCGCCGAAGCTCTGAAGAAACTGGCGGCGGGCTGAATGGGATACGGAAAGTCGTAACTGTTTAATAACGTGGCGTCGTGATATCACATCTCCCGTTGATGACAACGGATCATTAAAATCTGTAAATGACGAAAAACCCCATCAGGAAAGCTTCTACCCAGAAGCTTTCCCGTGGTGTAGAAGTGGGTTCTCTATACACATGAGGCTCCCAGAGGCAGATTTGACAGCAGTGAGCAATCAATGACTCTGTTGAGTCCCTGTGTAGGGCTGTTATGGAGGGGCTGTTTGTACATAAGATCAAACGGCGAACAAACACAGTGGGCGGAGCTCCGGGAGTAAACGGGGGGGGGGGGGGGTGCCCGCAACGACGTCCGCATCGGGCAGCCTGGGGGTAGGGCTGCCCGGGGTTGTGATCCTGGAGGGGGTATAAAAGGGGATGACAGAGAGAGCTCGGGGCTGAGTATTAGAACAGAGGAGGGAAGATTGAAGACCCGGGTAGCTAGAGCCCTGGACTCCCCTGAGACGCCGCCCTTGTCAGGGCCGCGCAGGACCGAGCCAGCGGCGTGGTCCCGTGAACCAGAGTCAGCACTCTGGGATTCCGGGTACCGTAGCCCGACTCACCAGTGTCGGGCCAGACAGCCTCCCCTAGCCCGTTAGTGGAGGACTCGGGGGTAGGTCAGGGATAGCTAGCGGTGTATCCCCAGTTATACGGGTGAGGGGGCCGATACCCCCTCTAGTGCTGTCCTGTCGTGACGACTTGTAAAATAAATACACGTGTGCCTCAACCTCGGTGTCAAGCGTCCTCACCGGTTCTTCACCTGTAAGGACGATACCAGCCTCTGATGCCTGTCAGTTGATCTTGTTTTTCATTAATTAATAATGTGCGACTCAAGGCAAGGTAACCACGATGCAGTTTTTCAGGAACTGGTGGTTGAGCATAACGCTGTTGAGGCTATTGCACAATATGGTCCAGATATCTTGTGACCCCCATTTAATTCTGTTAAACTTAATATACAGTATTTTTACTTAAAGCTTTCGTGATTGCAGGAATTCATGTATTTTTTTATTAAGGTTAATTTAAAACAAATATGAATATGCAAAGTGGGACATTTTTTGGGGGGTCCATGAATTGGGGGTCAATGAATTGGGGGTCACAAGACATCTGGACCACCCTGTACTGTTGTCCCACGACTCTCTGCGCGGCACCAGGTCGACCGTGCCTGTTGTCGCCCCCCAGTATCGACCTTCGTGATCAGGCCCCGTGTGCGTTTGCAGCCCGGCACAGACCAGGGGTTGTCTAAATCGGTTCTGAAAGTCAGGAACCGACGTTGCAGCTGCCGAGCACCAAGGAGATGGAATTGAACCTGCAGGTCCAGAGGTTGTGGCTCCGGCGAGCTAACCATTGCACCACTGTAACGGCTCCTGTTGTTTCAGCTGAACACAACGTGAATGTGTTGGTCGCTCTAGAAATATCTGTGTGTGGCACACTGGAAACCGGGTTTTACTAATAAAAAAAACGCGATTTTAACCACCATAGTTTTATGCAAACTATTCCGTTCTGTACGTGTGACAGTGGGAAAATAGTATGGTGAATTCAATTTCGGGAAACGCAATGCAAGATAAACAAAAATCCAATTACCGATAAGAGTGCAATGTGTGAAAGTATTACCAGTTTGGATATGCCATACACAAAAATAAAAAATGTAATGATAAGAGTAATTTTTTTAAAATGTGGAATGATTAAAAAGTAAACAAACGTGGTTAAATGGTAAGTTCCAATCGGGAAATATGAATCATTAACATTTGTAATATATCTGCATACGACAATGATATTTACAACAATAATCTAAACACATCAACTGTGCTGTCTGGTATCGAGTTATGCTTATTGGACTACGTTTTCTCCATGCTACAAATTAGAACTATAATCGTATGCCAATTTAATAGCAAGGCAACTCAACTCAGACGTGTAATTACAGTAAATGCTATTTTATTGTAACAGCAAGGTAAACCGAGAGTGGCTTATATTATTTTAATTTAAACTGAATTTAAAATTGGATTACCATTACAAGAGACCTCAAATTGTGCTAAATATAACACAAAATAAATAAAGACTGGGTTTTTTTGTGGGAAAAGGTGCCACTTAGTGGGAGCGCTTGTACAGACTGTGCTGCTGTGTGCAGAATTGGACATCAGTGACAAAGAGCTTCAGAGCTCATCGGATTTCTAAAGGATACATACTGACTCTGAGGATTGTGGCTTTGTAGGGCGGTGGTGCTATTATTTGTGAACATGGTCATTCACGAGGGCAATCTTCAACTTTGACAAAGGGCTGCTTTGTCAAATAGCTCGATATATTAGATGAGCATTACCAGTGGAATCACAGTAAACCACAGTCCTATTTCAAGAAAACCCTTATCTAATAACTGCTGCTTGGCAAATGCCTGGATTGCCACAAAAAATATTCAGTGACAACGTCACGTGACTCTGACATGGCCAAGGCAGCCTCTACCACCTTGTTTAATACAATGGCACCGCCTATTAGCACGGTTGACTACGTACGGTGCGAAAGAAGTTCAACATACATGCAAATTGAAATCATGGGCCAAAACATACAAAACTCACTTTAAATGAATTGGCTAAATATTCCAGTGCAGACCGTGATGAAACATGTTTCTTAAAACAAGTGAGGCTTTTCCTGGATAAGTGGCATGATCACTGCACATTTATTTGCGTTTTTATATGTAACTTAGCAAGAGCAAGGGACAAACACACACCCTCCTCTTAGCGTTTGTCTAAAATTGTAAAGTTTCACCTAATGTCGAGCATTACACAGTACAGCCAATAAATATTAAACCGTGCAACATTACACTTGCAAAATACAACATTGTACTATGCAAATAATAAAGTGATGACTCCACAACTGTACACTCTGGTGTTTTACTGTCTTGTTTGAAATGCGACGTTATTCTGTAATTGCTGATCTTGCAATATCAGCTTAAATGAATTTCCCTCTCCATACACACTCCCCATAGAACAAAAACAGTCACCGCATCGCGCGCTTTCAGATGCACTTCTGCGGCCGTCTGGAACGCTCTCCCTTCCGCTATTAGGAAGCCACTGCAGCTCTGCACATTTAAATCATCTTGATTGCAAAATAATTTCTTTCAAACGGATTTTTGTGTTTGGTTGGTTATCCTTCCCCCCGCGCGTCCGATTAACGCAGTTGGCTACGTACGGTGCGAAATAAGTTCAACATACAAGCATACCTACACACTTCCATAGCACCGGAAACTATTTTCCTAAATAGTTTTTTTTCCCCTGCGACCCCTCCTGCGCTCAACGTTGCCGCTGTCGAGGCCGGGCTCGGTGGCTGCCGATAGCCCCCCGAGTGGGGGCCAAGCAGCACGGCGTGCGTGGAGGAGCCCGTGAGGGTCATGTGAACCACCCACACGGGAGGCGCCACGGTGGCGAGATGTTAACTACCGGAGGTCGTGGGTTCCATTATGACCCTGACGCCTGCTGTATATTTGGACTTCGGATGTCTCTCTCTCTCGCCGTGGTCCTCCGGTTTTTCCCTCCACATTTAGAATCGATGTGCTGCTATAAATGCCCATGTGATAAGCCACTTCGTTGAGCTATCATTTGTGGCCAGGTCGCTTCTGAAAAAAAGCTGTATAGCTCAGTGGGCCTTACCTGGTAAAATTATAAAAATATATAGTTTATTTAGGCCCGTCCCACTGGGGTTCCACAATGTTTATCCGAGCATTTATTTGTGGCCTCGCACCCCTTGCGGCAAGCTGTACCGATCTCCCCCCGGGGATTGGGATCCTCCGCTTGGAAAATGCCGCTTCGTATTGCGCGAGTCTGAGCACATCACGGCCTCCATCTAGGGATTGAGAACGAGCCGCCTGTGATATGGGCAGCATCCTATCCCTGGAAAGGCCCAGCCGATTCGATTACGGGCACCGCTTTACATTTAGGTGTGCGGTGAAACACCGAAACTGTTCAATGCTCAACGAAGGGCTCACACCATGCTACGTTGGTCACGGGCCGGGGCTGGCAACCAACATAAGAAGAAGAGCCATTTTTTTCGAATTTGGTAAAAAAAAAGTGCAATGCATGCGAATAGGAGACAGTGATCCTTGATGAATGACGTCACGAAGCAGTCCTTAAAGAGCCACCGCATGCATCTCCGGAGCCGCAGGTTGCTGACCTCTGGTCACGGGGGTTATTTTACCATCTGACCATCTGGGTGAGGGGGGCGGGGGGGGCCCGGATTAGGTCGCCGATGCGCAAACCACTGCGCCACCACACCACCTACTAATTATGCTGTTCCTTAGTTTAAAAAAAATCAGCATTTTAATTGTAATAGCTCACTCATTGGCTGGTGCCAACACCTCCTGCTTCTGTCTAACTGGCACACAGATGCCGAGATAGCAACACCCCCGAGGTAAAGGGTCTATCACGTATTAGGTAAAGTATTGTAGTTCACTGCCTGTAAGGTAAAACTCGACATGTCAACTCTAAAAGACAAAAATTGCCTTATTTTAAAAAATGTTGAAACAAAGTTTACTTTTTCTAATTTAAATTCGCACCTAAACTTATTGCCTCGTGAATTATATAACTTGTCACAATTGATAAAATTGAATCTATCAGACTTCTGCACGGCAAATGCAATAAAACTTATTTGCAGCCGTTTCTGAAATGTGTTACTTATGTAGAGGTGATACGCGCTGGGATTAGAGATCGTATGCCAGCGCGTGATGATTGGCTGTGTAGGTGGTGACGTGCGCTGACGGTGGAGGATCAGGGGTCAGCGCGGGGTCGTGGGTTACGGGGTACTGATTGGCTGTGGGCCGGTGACGTGCTGAGAGGGAGTGATCGGGTGGCAGCGCGGTGTGATTGGTGGAGGAGTGTTAACACGGGCTGGGGAAAACGGATCGTAGAGAGAGTGCGTCGTGATTGGTTCATTAAGGAGCGATGCTCACGTTGAAGTACGCATCAGCTCCGCCTCTCGTGAGCAGGGGCTATAAAAGGGGATGCACACAGGCGTGAGGGCAGTGTGTAACCAGCGAAGAATGAAGACGGGGATGAAGACCTAGGGCCCTGCGGTACCTAGTCCCGCTGTCCTAACGGGACCGGGACTCTGTGTAACCCAGAGGCGAGTGTAGTGTGTGTAGCCATAGGCATAAGGTCTACACGAGCCGAATGCAGTGTGTGTAGCCAGGGACATAGGGTCTACACGAGTCGAGTGTATTGTGTAGCCAGGGACATAGGGTCTACACGAGTCGAGTGTATTGTGTAGCCAGAGGCGTAGGGTCTACACGAGTGAAGGGTATCGTGTGTAGCCAGAGGCCTAGAGTTTACACGAGAGTAGTGGAGTGTGAAGTCGGAAGGAAGGAGACTACACGTTGTATTTTGACACGTAAAGATTTAATAAAAAGTGTGTTCCCGTCAAGAAGTTCCTGCCATCAATTCCCATACTTCACTTAGAATACTCGGTGTAAGAGATGATTCTACCCCAGTATAAAACGTCTTCTGCTACAATTGTCGAGGCGTAGCATGACGACGTGACGTCATGAGCGCTGTGAGGCGCGATGACGTCATGTCACGTGACATACTTAAGGGGGCCGTTGTGGGAGCCCGGGATGGAGAGCGTCTGAAAGGAGGTCTCTGCTGCTCGTGACCGGACGGTGTTGGCTGATCCCCCGTCCGGGTTCTACGAGTAGGAGAGCCGAAGATATAGCCAGGGGCAGGGCTCTGAGAAGTCTGTAAGAGCCGGCTAAGGTTACGCGGGGTGCTGCTCTCCTCGGTCGGGCGGTGTTGGCTGAACCCCCGTCCCGACTCGAGTGAGAGAGCCGAAGAGATAGCCGAGGCTGGGAAGAGATAGAGCCCGAGGTCCGAGTGTAGGGACACCGACCTCTGGTGTAAACCGCTATCCCTTGTGTTAATAAACCGGCGCAAGCCCTTACGAAGATCTAGATTTGAAGTTTTCGTGACTGCAGGGATCCATACTCTTTGGTTCTTTCGGTAAAGTAAATTAAATTAATTTATTTTATACCATAACTAAGAATTCCGTCTTCGAGCTGTTCTGCACTACACAACACAATTATGGCATTAATGTTCTGTTATTATGTTACAATAGGGCATCTTGATTACATTTCTGAGGTTTTTTGTTGTTCTGAAAACCGATCAAGGATTGTTTATCAAGTGCTCGCCGTTTTTCTGATTATGATTGTATGTATTTAAAAAGGGTAAACAGAATTTGTGGAACTCTACAAAGACACAATGACGAACATTCACAAATGCATATAGAGACACACATTTCTGTATCACCATTAAGCCTGGCATAGTGGCACATGCCTGTAAGCCAGGGCTTTACAAGGAAGGGTGGTGGAGCACGCACAGTTTGTTAAGCTCGTAAACCCAAATAGGCTGTGACAAAGCGAGGAGATGGCAGTACAGAAATTGGGTTAGTAAACTTTCCTGAGCGCTATCCCCTCACTTCAGCAGACTTTCTCTGGGTCGTTATTTTTCCTGCCAAATGTAAACCACTCCTTATGAGGACAACTCGCCAAACACCCCCGAACGCAAAATTCTCCTAGAAAAGTCTTGGGACTCGATGAAGATTCCTGGGGGAAAAAATATATATGAGGATCTGGTTTAATCAGAGATGGTTGCTTGGATTCGAAGCCAGGACCTCAACGGTGCCAGCTCAGCCCTCTGACCTCTCAGCCACCGATCTGTACAATGACTCAACGCTTATCGCTTAGTGGCTGCGCATAGCTTCCAGGCCATTCATAGGCTGCAGTCATTAAACCTTTGAGCTGTCACGAATATTTGCAGCCAACACTGGAAGCTGTCAGTGCTTTACAATGTGGGTTACTTTTACAGAATCTAGGCAACACAATAGAACGCGCATTCAATTCTACACCTTTTGTCCTGATTGCCAACGAGCATTGTAGCCGTGCTCGTCTCTCCGCGAGTAATGAGCAGGTGTGCGACCGCGCGGGGTCACGTGAGGTGCGCTCTGCGTCCGCGTAACTCGCCTCTCGCCTGCGGACGCGCGGTGCGCAGCGCTGCCACGATCAGCGTGACCACGAAGAGCAGCGCGAGCGCTCCTCCCACCGAGGCGTAGACCAGCGGTGACCGAGGTCCCCCTTCGGCATCTGCAACGAAACGTGGCGGGGGCCACGACGCATCTGTGAACGCTGCAATTCTCTAATGCCCCAAGGCGGCGCCGATAGCCCCCCTGGCACGGAGACAGCGTTGTTTCAGAGGAAGTGACACGCGCCGGAGCCAAAGCGTCAACGCCAGCCAGTCAATCTTTTTTAACGCTTAAAATAGTTCCTTCCGATGAAATGAAACAACAGTGTGGACAATGTGAACACAATAGCAACACAGTTTTCGAGGGGAAAATAATAATGATGTAATGTCAAATCGAAAACATCAAAACTATACACATTGCGGAGGGAATTGCCAACAGGCTTTCTTTCATTATACAAGTTAAATTAGTAATGTTAATATGTTTGATAGCTTTCTGCTAGTTTCACAAAATACAAAGGTCACACTGCTGCACATAGGGTATTGCATCATCATTTACATGCATTAAAACACGTGTAAAATAAAAAAAACTTGCTTACACGTGCGATTCAAGTTGCGATGTCTCTGTATTGGCTCGAACATTCTATTTATTTTTATTAATTTTAATTTCATTTTTTACCTACGTGACTTTACCGAAAGAACTAAGAGTATGAATCCTTGCAGTCACGAAAGCTTCAAATCTAGAATCGAACATTCTACTTGCACGCATGATATGAGCTGCAAATAACGCTCACTTTTATAGTAATGAATTCCGTCCTCAGTCATAAAGAACCAAAACAGGGAACTTCGTATCGTACATATTAAATATGTAGCTTCTTCTGATATTTTCTCGTTGGGTTTGCGGGTACGACACAACGCCGTGCAATTAGAATTTATATAGCATCTAAATATGCAATTGAGTTAAGTACCTGGGCAGATGCGAGACAGAGAAATTGTGGTGCCTCTGAATAATGCACAAGTCGTGTACGGGGATGTATGGACAAAGTAATTAGTTGTCATTCCTTTAAAGCCTCGATGGTAAAGTTAGATTACATTTTTCATTTTACATTTCAATCAATCCCTAATCAGTTTTGATTGATGTGTACAATCTGTTTTTTTTTACAAAGCTTCCAGGTCTGTGTTCCAAACCTCGTTTGAGACAATAAATATAAACAAGAATTGACATTTTCATTTTACAAAGGTGGGGCACGGAAAACGGAGTGGTGATGCCCAGTCGGAACAACGTCGCTGGGTACATTGCCATTTGTTTTTGGACCTTTTAAGAAGTATCTGAAATCAACAAGCTGCGAATTGGGGGCATAGCTAAGTCCCGTTTTCCCTAATGTATGTGTAGTAACATCGTTGGATGTGACATCGTTGGATGTCACTGTGTATGTGACTGTGTGATGTCGGCCTGGGAGAGGCACAGCGCGCGATGTACTGACATCGCAAACACCACTGAGGGTGGCTGTAGTACCAGCCATAGCGGGGCTCAGGGAGCACTGACTGGCAGCAATGGATGGCACCACGCGCTGCGTGCAGTGCCAGCCCCTACAGGATACGGTACGAGGGTGTCGGCCTCGGAACAGGGTTTCAAAGGGGCCATGGCACTCTGGTTGACCCTGGAGGACACGTGACCGGAGGTGTCTACCCCGGGACCCCCAAAGGGGGGCTAGGGTGATCACTTGGCCAGTTGGAGATCCTCCTTGAGGATTCGAGGAGGTCGTGGCGAGGAGTGGAGCCGGGCCCCCAGTGGGACCGGTGGTTGTTGTTCATCCCGAAGACTTCACGTCCCTGCTCCATGCTCCACGTTCTACAGAGTCTCCCACACGAGGACCCGGACCCGAGTTGTGGTCCGGTCCGTTGTAGCTAGTTGCGTGTGATTAGTGTAGATAGCCTGGTGGTCCACCACCACAGCGTACTATCCGGTGAAGGGGCAGTTACCCCTTCGTGTTAACGCGCCGATGTTAATAAATGTGTTGCCTCCAAAAGTACGTCTGAGTCTCCGTTTGAGCCCACTACATCTGTGTGAACTGGTCCCAGTGAGTAATGTTGCTCCCGAGGTTTTCGCGGTGTGCTGTCTAGCCGCCCGATGTGTTTTGGTGTCATGCCGCGCGTTGTTCGGCACGGTGCATGACACATCGATCCACATGCTGGGAGCACCTTCAGGCACTGATTGCATATTCAGTTAATAATTCTATTCGGCATCAGTTCCTAAAAAAGCTATCAGAATGTGGAGCGAAATTTACGGACATCATCCCTAACACGCAGCAGCAGAACGGAATGGGAATAATCATGAGAGGTGTACAGCCACAGCTGGAACATTCTACGAAGTAGTCGGAGTGGCGTGTCTGTGACTTAACTCGCGCTGTGTTGTGTGAAATGAAATGGACGAAAGTTCCGACCGCGAGGTTTGAAGACGTTACCTATAACAAAGCTGCTCCTCCTTCCCTTGCACAGGCTTTTGCAGCAAGTGTTGAATGGACGGATCTGGAAGAAAGCTCAGGTTAGTGGATGAGATATTTGAACTGCTTTCGAGATAAACATATTCCTGCGGAGGGAGCTGGTAGGAACGTCGGGTTGCTCGGTCAATGTCCAGGGTCAACGGCGGCGTGGTGTATTCCGCAAATATGGCCGACTGAGGGCGGGCACAAGCCGGCATGAGTAGGTTAAACGTTGAGTTTTATAAGGGCACCACGGGGTGATCAGCCCCTCCCCACCCAGCCCCACCCCTCCCACCCCCACCCAGCCCCACCCTCCCCTCCCCACCCAGCCCCTCCCCACCCAGCCCCTCCCCACCCTCCCCTCTCCACCCAGCCCCACCCATCCCATTTTTTGATGCACGACGGACGGACACAATAATCCCTTGTGGGCTGGTGGAACCAGGTGGTTCCTACCAGTACTAATCGATCTGGCCGATGTTATAGCAGTGTCTGACTCACAGATGGAATACTGGGTTCAAATCTTCCACGTTTAACCACATTGCTTAGTACGAAATGTCCAAACAATCACATGCTACCCCAGGCGTACTGATCAAACATTTAAGCCAGTATTTTATTGGTAGTTATTAAATTAAGTGATTATGAGAGAATATGGCTGAGTGGCGCTGCAGTCCGAATGTTTGACTCAATCAGAAGATTGCAAGTTCAAATCCTGGACAAAGAACAACTCAGCCCATCATCCTTCCAGAGTGAATAAAATTCGCTATCGCTTTATAGAACATCAACAGCAGTTGTGGTCTGCAGATACTGATCCCCACTCTAGGAATGTGAAACAAATGGAGACATGCAACACCCAATGTTTTTAGTTTACTTTTTTATTGTAAGCTATCGTTTATCCCTTTTTATTATTTGTGCCACTTATGTTGCTAATGCCCTGTTATCTATCATTTACAAGTTCCATATAATACGTTAACCAAACTTTATTTAGCAAAATGCTGGACGGACAAGACGAAGAATCACACAAATACGTTAATACAATGCAACAAATTGCTACATCACTACGACACGTGCAATTACTACTACATCACACGTGGCCATACAACATACATGTGCCATGACTGTACTACAAAATATACAAGAAATATACATCTCCGGGGTGCGCGTGGTTGTGAGATTCGATGCGGCGTTGGTCTTACTTCTGGGTAATTTCGGAGGCATGGCCACAGGAGGAATACTCTGAATGAAGCAGCGTGCGCATCTCGTCGATACAAAAACTGATTTTTATTTTTGCCTTAAAATCACGTAGATAACGCTGACCCTGTGATTGATTGCATTTGAACGCTGGCACGGCATAAGGCATTGTCCGCTTAATTCCAGGTATTACAGAGCGTACAATTTAAGTTGCTCTAGTGTGGCAGTACATTCAAGTGGCGTGCTATGGAGCCAATTTTTACGATGTCAATTACGCTTCATGTGGTGGGTGGGAATCATTTTATTGCCAGACGAGATCTAATATCCGATACCAGTTTCATTACGCGGAAGCCCCGCGTGGCACCAAAATACTTACTTTTACTGTAACGTGGTCGCAGTGTCGCTCTAAAGATGAGATAATAAAAACGGCACTTTCCGTGGCATCGTACGCACCCTGTGGGAGTGAGGTATGATTCACAGTTATGAGCATCAGACTTTGGGTGATCACTGTGGGAGTACTTTGGAGGCATACAAATCTAAAGCGGGCAAGCCCAGGCGTGGCCGGGAATACGGGCGTATGTTGAACTTCTTTCGCACCATACATAGACAATTGTGCTCATTGGAAAACATTTTTTTTTGTTGAAATGGCTTATGCCTGCTCTTTTTAAAATATATACTATCTGGGTAGAATGCCAAATACAAAGATGCAGGTTCAAGTGGGGGTATGTTGTTGTCATCTCAATCAAGCATACACATGCATAAAACGCGAAAAGGTCAAACCCATGTGTAATGGGTTCGATTAAGGTGCACACTCAACTTGGAGGCAAAACTATTTATTCACAACGTAACAAACAACTTGCGTCTTCATCCTGGGGTTGCTGTTGTGGAGTGACTCATGCAGCCAGCTATGGCTGCAGCGTTTTGGTAGTTACATGTTGTTTATGACATTTATTGTGAAAATTCTGTCACAGTTCCTATGATCACTGTTTCATTGCTTTCATGGCTTTATTTTGGTGATTTCGAAAAGTGTATTGGTTTAGCCATGTTTGTTTGTTGTAGTACAGAGTTAGACTGATGGCCTTAATCTGAGCTGTCTTGTGGTTGTTGTTGGTTGTTTGACTTGCATCCCACTGGGATTTTTGCACACATCGTTGGTGTACGGTGTTTTTTCTGCAATATTTTGCTGTCTTTTCTTGGATTTTCTGTTTTCACTCAGTCACATATTCACTTTAAGATGTTTTTTGTTCTTGTTTTTGTTTTTTGTTTGTTGCGGTTGCACCCGATTCAAGAGCCGAATGGCTCACAGGGCTATACCTAATAAATTAACTTGAACTTGAAATAAATGAACTTGAACAGCCGCGCTCTCTGTTCACACCCCGCTTATAACTGCTGCGGCGTGGCCGGCCACGCTCTCGGCCACGCCCCCCTTCCAGATCCTTCGGGAAGATCTGGGCCCCTTACCACGTGACCACCAAGCTCCCCTCTGGGGCCCCTAGCCCCCCCTTCATCCGGTCACGTGTCCTGTCGGGTTCACGCAGTGTCACGGCCTGACGCGACCTCTGTGACACCCGCCTACAGCACCCGTGCAGAGCCAACACAGTAGTGACGTCATGTCACTACACATGTACGCGCTGCAATCGGCGCACTGCATTGCACCATCACAGGCATGAACAGTAAATCGTACACAAATACACCGACAGTGGTTTGAGACAGAGACTGGCATTCTACGCAGGGCTGAGTTTTGTCACCAGCATTGTTCGACGCTTTAGAGCAGGGGTCCTCAAACTACGGCCCGCGGGCCACATGCGGCCCGCCGAGGACATTTATCCGGCCCGCCAGGTGTTTTTGCCGCCGCTGCCTGTCTGTTACTTTTTTTCTAGATGAGAAGGACGGTCATTGGTGGAAGAGGGAGAGGGGGCGGAGTTCCCCCCAATCAGACTGCATTGATGGGCAGTACAGTCTGTATGTCTCTGTGTGGGCAAAGTTATTGCTGGTATATTGTTTTTGTAGCGCTGTATATATATTGGTATTTTACTAATAGCAATTTTGACTCCCTAGGAAACAATGATGTCAAGAAAGAGAAAAATTGACTCGGAGTGTAGGATATTCAAAGAACAGTGGACTTATGATTACTTTTTCATGCAGTACAAGGAAAGAGCTGTGTGTCTGATATGCCAGAATATAGTGTCTGTGTTCAAAGAATACAATTTACGTCGACACTATGAAACTCAACATAAAGATAACCACCGCCACCAACTGAAAAATACATTAACAACTCAGAAAAATACTTTTGTGAAGCAGAAGCAGCTAAATATTTCATCACTGCGAGCAAGTTTTCAAGTTGCCAAGCTAATAGCGTGCACTGGCATACCATTCGTGGAGGGAGAATTTGTTAAAGAATGCCTTCTTTCTGTTGCCAAAGAGATGTGTCCAGAGAAGGCCGATTTATTTAGTACAGTGAGTCTTTTAGGACCTACAATTACACGGAGGATTGAAGAAATGGGAGACAATTTGCATCAGCATTTGCAAAACTCCACAAAAAAACTTTACTATTTTTCCTTGGCACTCGACGAAAGCAATGATGTTCGTGATTCTGCACAACTTCAAATTTTTATTCGTGGGACGAATGACTATTTCGAAGTCACAGAAAAGCTTGCTGCACTGCAAAGCATCAAAGGAACAACTACAGGAGAGGATATCTTTCGATTTAAAGCTTTCGTGACTGCAGGGATTCATCTTCTTGGTTCTTTCGGTAAAGTCACATAGAAGGGAAGTAATAAAATAATTCTCACGACGTTTTGGCCACAACGCAAGCAGCCGTCCTCAGGTGAAAACCAGGTCTGTTGGGGAGACAGCGTCTGAATGAAACAGCACACGAGCTTGGAGCATATATAAGCTGGGTTGGAAGCGGGGGAAAGAGCGCCTTGACAAAATAATTTGCATATCAAGAGGAATTTAGCATATTTATGGGAAATGCAGGAATGTGATTAGTACTACATATGCCCGTGCTGCATATGTAGTACTAATAACATTCCTGCATTTCCCATAAATATGCTAAATTCCTCTTGATATGCATCTCTCCCCTCTGAGACATATCCTCATCTCAGCAACCATGCACTCAAAATGGTAACCATCTTTAGCAGCACTTATGTCTGTGAACAGACTTTTTCCAGAATGAAACATTTGAAATCTCCAACCAGATCTAGACTAATGGATACACACTTGCATCACTTGTTACGACTAGCAATGACAAATATGGAACCGGACATTGACCATCTCATTAGCCAAAAGCAGGCCCATAGTTCCCATTGAAATACTGGCAAGTTTGTTGATTTAACTTTACTGTTCTTCATTTTAAATATTGTATTTGTTCCCGTTTTGTTTCTTCACTTCAAAATAAGATATATGCAGTGTGCATAGGAATTTGTTCATAGTTTTTTTTTAACTATAGTCCGGCCCTCCAACGGTCTGAGGGACAGTGAACTGGCCCCCTGTTTGAAAAGTTTGAGGACCCCTGCTTTAGAGGGAAAAAAACCCAGAATTTGTAAACAGAGTTAAATTTTAAACAAAGCGACCACCAAAAGAGCTATATTCTTTGGGTCTTTCGGTAAAGTCACGTAGATAAGTTCAAAGAAAATGACAAAAAATAACAAAAAAACTACGACGTTTCGATCGCAACACAAGCGTTCCTCATCAGGAAGAAAAAAGAGGGGGACAGCTGCTGAGGCAGACTGTTTTCAGATTTCACCAAAGATAGCTGTTCAGCCGTGCAAAACGTCACTTAACACTAAACATTCAGAGGCAAAGAAGCCCATCAAAATTGCCCTCATTGGCACGACGATTTAGCCGCAGTGTGAGAACGAACCATTTGCAGCAATCATGTTTTGGGGCCAAGTTACCAGGACACTCAGCCACTCGGGCAGTGCGATGTGACAAGAGGGGGCTTCAAAAAGTGTTTTTTTTCCGAATGGGATATTTGTTTTCCAACTCGTCACACTTCGCGGTACACCAGTCTCATCCCAAGGTGAGGTCACTGTGACCGTATTAGAAAATACGGCACCTCGTGCAGCTACACTGCGGCCCCGCCAATCCCACGGCTGTCAGCCTTACGGGAGGGAACGTTCCGTGGGTCAATAGACATGCGATTATGCAAGCATCACCCCTCTCTGCCTGTGACAAGCACTACAGTTTTTCGAACGAAAGTGCTACACTTTCCATTCCTATAAACTACGAGCTTTACTACCCGGCTTCGCTCGGGACTTGGATTCACCACGCCCGGCCGCCTTTGTCTCTCCAGTGGCGATGTTCACACACCACACCAGTTACTCGTTTGAGGCTGAGTCGACCTAGGGGAGGCCCAGGTTCGGTTCAAATAATCTTCACCGGTGGTGGCCGTGAGTGGGAATCGAACTCGGGTCGCCGGGTTCGTAGCGCAGCGCGCTACCCACTACACTACAACGCGTTACGCTTGCACATGCGCGGGTCACGTGACAGAATTGACGTCACAGCTCACTTGCCGTGCAAAAAATATATGCATAATTTAGCTCCCCCCCCCCCCCCCAAAAAAAAAACACAAAAGTGTATTTTCATATTTTTTGCATGGTATACAGTCTGGAAAGTACCCACATGGCAAATTTCCAGTTTGTTGCATGTCAGGAAGTACGCTAAACATTTGAACAGACACATAATCACAACTTTGCCTTTTATATATATGGAGATATTTTTAAATCCTTTATACTAAGTTCGGTCGTTTTTTAACCCACTTCCCGTAATCCAATCGAGCTGACATTTTGCACACAGACTCGTTGTGCGTCACAATTTATTTTCGTTAAATTTTTTTCCCAACATTTTCCACTTTTTAAGAAAAAAATTCATATTTAATTTAAAATACCAATGTGATAAAAATGAAACTTTTACTCAAGAAAAACAGAAATGAATAATAAAATAAAACCGATGCCACGCATATGAAGGATTTATAGTGAAAAATTTGTTTTTACAGGTTAATTTTTTTAAATCCTTTATACTAAGTTCGCTTGCTTGCTTGCTTACGACCGTGCAAATCTTTCGGTCGTTTTTTAACCCACTTCCCGTGATCCAATTGAGCTGACATTTTGCACACAGACTCGTTGTGCGTGGCAATTAATTTTCGTGAATTTTTTCTCCAAATTTTTACATTTTTTAGGAATTTTATTTAAATATTTAATTACAAATTGCTTAATGGTGGCAGGCAATCATCTAACCCATAGGTGGCAGCCATCTCAAGCCAGAGGACGAGAGGACTCCAGCCGCCACGCATATAAAGGATTTATAGTGAAAAACTTTGTTTTTACGGGTTAATTTTTTTTTATTTTACCAGGTAGGGCCCACTGAGCTATGTAGCTTTTTTTCAGAAGCAACCCAGCCACAAATGATAACTCAACGAAGTGGCTTATCACGTGAAAATGTATCGCAATCAAATACTCTAAATGCGTGTTTCTACATGTGGTGGGAAAAACCAGAGGACTCGGAAAAAAATCCACGCGACCACGGGGAGAGAGACACACAAACTCCAAATATGCCGTCAGCGTTTGGATTGAAACCCTCCTCCATACCAGGCGAGAGATTTAAAATCTCGCCGCCTGCACGCACACACGCATCTAGGGCATTCCCTGCGCCATAGACACGGAGTGTGGAGTGCCCTTGTGCGTATGGGTAAAGATGTTCCGCTCATCATACCAGGTGTCGAAATTTTTGCGTGAAATTTTTTGTATTTGCGGAGCATCGTTTTGAATGCCACTTGGGACGATTGTTGAACTGAGAATTATCGAGGAGGGAAACTAAGTCGTATCCCTGTATTGGCTTCCAGTGAAATACAGGATCAAATGTAAAGTTCTCGTCTTGACCTTCAAGGCCCTGAATTGGTTAGCTCGGCTATATTGCGGTGATCTGCTGAAACCGTTTGCCGCTGTCCGGCAAACTTTGATCCACCGAATCCGAGCACCCTGGAATACACTTCGGACACATTCTGCGTTCAGTGGCGAAATAGAGCCTTCTTCTTGGTTCTTTCGGTAAAGTCACGTAGAAGGGAAGTAATAAAATAATAAAAAGTAAACATAATAAAATAAAATAATTCTCACGTCGTGACTTTACCGAAAGAACCAAGAAGATGAATCCCTGCAGTCACGAAAGCTTTAAATCGAAATAGAGCCTTCTTCAGTCCTCAGGCACCTCGTTTGCGGAACGCTTTGCCCCAGTCCGTTTGGGAAGCTCCGTCAGTCGAGGTTTTCGGGCTCGTCTGAAAACACGTTGTTTCTCTTGCATATCCGTCTATTAGTTTTAATGTTTAATTATTTTTTTTACTGGAGTTGTGTTGTAAAGTGCTGTGAGGCGTTGTGTGAATGGTGCTATATACAACTGAGTTTTACTTCCTTACTTATCATGCCACGTACATGATGCGCATGTAAGCTCGATCGAGCTTACATTTACTGTACTATTTTAATTATTCTAATTTCTGTTTACATTTTTAGACGATTAAATGAAAGCACGGTTACCAGCACCAGTGGAGACAATTCATAATTCAACTGCACCCAAGTTATTAAAATACAAACATGTTTTATGTTGATATAAAAGAGAGTAAATTACGTTGAATGTTTGAATTTTTATTGATGATCTGACTCATGTCTTGAGTGCATAAGCAGCGGCGGCAGAAGACACATGTGTACATGTACGGTAATTATTATCGACACCACAACAATTTTCTGGCTGTGGATTTCACACATGATGATGATTGATTGTGTTGCAGTCGAAACGTTGTGATAATTGTTATTGTTTTATATTCATATTATTTTCTTATTTCCCTTCTACGTGACTTTACCGAAAGAACCAAGAATACCACAACAGCTCTTTGCGCTTTTGCTTGATATAATCGAGCCAAACAGTTGAAAGCAGGCCTGCATGCGGAGGTCACGTGCAAAGTCGCCAATCCCGAGTGAATGTGTGGTCTTACCTTCATTACATTCATCTCCATTTCTTTGAAGCAGTCCCTGTCATCTTCACGACGGAAGACAACAGCGAGCGTGTAGTGATCAAAGTAAGGTGCTGTGTTGAAGAACACACGTAGACTGTTTGAAGCCAGAGTGATGTTCATCTTTGGGTCCCAATTTATTCCTGAAATGTTAAATAAAGGTTTGAAAACAATTAGATCTTCGTCCCAATTGTATTGTGCAGAAATAGAAAAAAACCGTAAAAGGTTAAAGGGGCAGCCCTGATGTATACAGGCGGTCGTAGGTTCGATGCCATATATTTTGGTTACAAGTTAAAACTGCAAATGAGATACTGACTTTGAATCTCCGTACAACGCTTGGCTGTATTTAGTACAAATATAAACCGCAAGATAAGGAGGTGAAAGTAATGGCACCCAGTGACCCACGTTGTCATGATGTAACTTCCTTGCCACTATATAGGAGGTTGAGGGTTCGATCCCAACCCTGACGCATGTCTCTCTCCATGTGGTCGCGTGGATTTTTCTCTGGGTCCCTCCACGTTTCGAATCAACATCACGCGTTTAGAGTTATTTGGCTGCTATACATTTCCACGTGACGAGCCACTTCGTTGAGCTGTCATTTGTGATAGCCAGGTCACTTCTGAAAAAGAGCTACATAGCGCAGTGAGGCCTTACCTGGTAAAATAAAAAGAGTTTAGTTTTAGCTTATGTCCTGCTCAAGAGGATGCTGATCGAAAGACCTGCACCAGAGGCGTCAGTAGAGAGCCCCTTTTCGAGGTGATTGTGTATACTCTACGACGTTGCCCAGATGTCTTGGAAGAGGCAAAAGTACCCACACTTAACCCATCACCACACACACGACTTGCCCAATGGATTATTTCTCTTGTGCCCAGTTATACCGCTGGCTGGACAGAGACCAGGGACATTTTAAGAAACGTTGCGCATTACTTCAACCGCTGGACAGAATTGAACGTGCGACCTCTCTATGTAATGGATGTATGTTGAACTTCTTTCGCGCCGTGCGTAGCCAACCGTGCTAATCGGAGGATTGCAAGTCCAGTGTGATAAGCGGTACAATACGACAGCACGACAGCATCTTGTTGAGAAGCATCGTCTGCAGTACAACAAATGCGTTGGCACATTCCTGGCCGAGTATCTGCTCAGAATAACAAGGAGAACCAATGCGCGCTGACAGAAAAAAAAACAAGATCATCAATTGTCGAGCCAATAGACCCTCGATGAAACTCGTGATTAATGATCCACTCGGCCACACTGAGTCCTCAATACGACTTTTAAAAAATTAAAATGTAACCACTTTTCTAGTTTGGCCTACATCAGCATATATTGATTTCTCCGAAACTACTTTCACAAGCTATGGCATGGAAGTGTATTATGTGGAGAATGTTCTGTTGAATACATTTAATTAAGAACGTTGCTCATCTTGTATCGGGCCCCACTATCCGTTGTAAAAGAGAAACGGTAATTTAATGTGTTTTCACTTGGCTTCAATGATTGATTATAGCCGATTGCGTGCTCATTAACTGCGCTTGTTATTCTATGGCGAACAAGTGCTTTTTGACAAAGTGGACAACGGAACACCAAGCAACAATATTATTGCAAGGTGCATCAAGCATTCATGTCTACGCGCCGCTTCTCGGTGGCTGCCCCAACAGTCTGGAACGCAATCCCTCTGCACATTCGCAGCATCACCTCAATCGCCTCCTTCAAGAGACGCTTAAAAACTCACCTCGATAACCACGTGCTTTCGAGTGACTCTGAGCTTGACTCCGCGCCTCTGAGTTGCGGCCGTTACGTCCGCAAATTTGCGCGCGTTATAAATTGCATTATTATTATTATCATGAATAATTGTGGGCTACTGTTTTGGACTGTACGTAGCCAACCATGCTCATCGTAGTGTATACAGAAGCTGCACCAGGAAAGCGGACACACCTCTGACGATGCATTTGTGTGTCTTTCTCATCGCCTCACTTTTGCAATCTGAAAAGGCAAAACGAATTACATTGAAATAGCCCTTGGCACGCTTTGTCGTTCCAACAGGTGATTGATCCACTCACAAATGCTGCAAGGATTCTATTTAAAGTGGCCAGCATGCCTAAGACTGCACAATTGCATACAATTCACGAACTGCCATGCAAGCCACCGAGCACATTTATTTTTGGTCTCTGTAATTCTCATGCTTGCCAATCCTGATTTAAGTGGCTGCCTGCCAACGTATGAAACACTTTTGCAGTATACCGATTTAGAAAGAAAAAATGTAGTTAGAAATCCTCAAACTATTCATAAAGCGGTGTGATTAACATGTGACACGGTTGATGATCGTGGCATTTTAAAAATAAATGGATGGCAACTGCATACCGGTTTCGTACTCATTAAGACTCGTCACAAGCGTATCGCCACACTGGCCTCCTGCTGCTGCCGCTTGTGCCCGAGGAGCTTGTGTTGGCGGTCCAGCTGAAGACGCAATGATGAAGCTCGAAACGTTGAATTGCTTCTTCAACTAAAGTGTTTTGAGTTCGATATAACTGAAAATGTACCCGACTTTTGTGACATCCAAGTCATGCGCAACGTAAGTGCATCACCCAGCTGTCCGAACACGATTAAGTGGGGCTCAATTTGGATGGCTTCCTCAGTGCGAACGACAAATGCAGAACCGCGTTGCCACGCGCATCTGCGACCCATGTGTACACACAGACAGAACAGGCCCTAGACCTTTGGGGGCCCTAAGCAAAATTTGGTTGGAGGCCCCTTTGATGTATGATTTTTTTTCACCCACTAGCTAGCAGTGACTCTAGGGGGCCCTCTGCTGGCCACGGGGCCCTTTGCAATTGCAAGGGTCGCTTAGTGGCTGGGCCGGCTCTGCACACAGACACACCTCCTCAAGGAAGCCCTCGTCGTTCGGTGTAGAGATCACGGAGGGCAGAGACAATTTGTTGCAGTGGTCATTGGGTTTGCAGGTCACGTGGAATTCAGGATGAGTAATAGTATTTATAGGGCACTGCTTAAATGGATCAGCATCGTGAATTCTCCTTTTATGTGATCTCATCTCAAGCATTCCCATGGCCTGCTGTAGCACGGCCAAGGGAACCCCCAGTGGCAGCTGTCCCTGTGCCGCACAAGGTGAATGCAGCACGGGCCTGTAAGTGGGAATGAGTCTGCCAGTCGGGGACGATGTTGCCATGCGGCTTTTTAAAATTTCTAATTTGCAAATACTGCAATTTATCAAATGTGACAGATACAATCACTTGATCTAGAGTTGGTCATTTATCATGCAGGCCACAGGTTATACTACTTTCTGTCCAACTTACTCAGGGTTCAGGGATCTACCATCCCATTTTATTTGCAGTTTCACTGCGATCGATTCTGAAGCTCCCAGCAAAAATGTCGGACGTCATGCCGAACAATGCACGGTACAACCCATCAACACGTCGTCAGAGAGTCGCGCAGCGCAACCGCAACATGTATAAACTGCACCGGCTGCGTTTTGTGTTTTTGTGTTCATCAATACGCGTAACATCCAACTGGGCTCAGGACGGAGGGAGCTTCCTGTAAGCAAGTCTGATGGTTACGTCACTCACCTGGCACCTTGATGCTATCTTGCACGTGAGCGTCGTCCTGCCCAGTGGATGGCCGTGGCAGGTGGTACACTGTGACCGTGATGTAGTCCGAGGGCTCCACCTCGTACTGGTCGAAGCTAAATTCCCACTGAAATACAACACGCGACGGCCACTCCGCTCAGAGACAAGTCAATGCTGTTCTGAATGGCAAGGCAGAATTTATGATGGAAGCCTTTGATAATGTATGAAGCATAAGAATAGGTTTTACCCTTTCTGGCAATCAAACAGGAGGTGTTACGATGTCCAAACGCCAACTAGATACCTCTTGCAAGGCATCAAGTCTGCATTAACCACACGTACTTGTGGCAAAACATGCAAACAAACATGCTCTGATAATATATGGGCATCGTCTTTGAAACGAATTGGCCTACACCAGAGACAGCCTTCATTATGGCTTTGTCTCACCAGTGTGAGACCAGAGAACGCCAAAAGCCGAAAAGCACAAAGACAATCCAAATATCAGAGCATTTATAGCTTGGGTTGAGCAGTTATATATATGGAACCTTATTGGCAGTATCAAAGTATTAAAAATAAGAATATGTTTTACCCTTTCTGGTCAGTGCGGGGGGTGAAGTTGGCCAGATTTGATGCCGGCATCAACAACGCATTGGGGCAATGCATATATTTAGTGTCGGAACTAAGCCAGCAATGGAATTACACATTCCTCAATCTGTCCACAGGACAACTACTGTTGCCACCCCACAACAGCCAGGTATTGGTAGTGCACGCCTGCGATCCATGACTTTGGAGGCAAGGCTTGCTGAAGCTCGCAAGACCTTGCTGGTTTGAAATGGCCCGGAGATGGCAGAACAACAAACGGGTTCTCAAATTCATCTTTGTGACCTTTCCCCTCATTATACTGTATGTGCAATGTATGTGGGCACACCAGTTTACTCCTACATGCAAAACACTCCGATTAGCATGGTTGTCTAAGTACGGTGCGAAAGAAGTTAAAGAACATAATGAGATGGCCAAACATCCCAATGCAGGACCATCTTGCAAAAGAGACATGAGTCTCAGTAAGGTGTTCCTGGATGAATACAGAGCATTGTTACTATTATTCTATTGAACCTGGAGGGGTGATGGGCTGAGTTTGCCACTCACTGATAAGTGAACTCAGAAATCCTTCAGACTGTTGGGTAGACACCTGGGAAGACAAAGTCTTAGCGTCATAAAGGGTTATATGTGCACCTAATCAGATACAAGTAAAACATCATCCTTTGAACTTAACAGATAATAAAAACGCATGGACTTTAAGCAAGAACTCACTACAAGATGGGCATTGTGCAATGGTCTTACATTTTGTCCCAGATGATTATTTCGCCTGGGGAAGGGGACTTTGCTAAAGTTGAAGATGATGTGGTGACTTTTTGAGCCATGGGTGATGATTAGCTCTGCACCATCCAAATGATTTATGCTTCCTGATAGAAAAACACGGCATCATAAACACAGAGTATTAGAAAATGTCGCATTACGATCCCTACCACACTCATGAACGTTTAATTAATTCAAGAACATTGTGGCTAGAACAGTATTTCAAAAGTCTAAAAAGTATTGTTGTAATGTGTGTACTGCAGACGAGACATTCAAATAACAAGATAATATAAATAATGTAAGTCCAGTGTGACACCAACCTTACACCACAGCAGCGCCCAGGAGAGTATCATTTTATACGATTTTTTATTATTATTTAACTCACTCTGTCTGTTGTTGTATCCTCAAATCTTGTAACTCAATTTTTACCCACTTCCCAATGTGCTATCGACTGCAAACTTGGTATACTTATGTCATACTGATGACAATATTATATTCTATCATGAAACATAAAAAACATATATTTTAAAACATTATTTTATTACACGCTTTGATAAACTCACTCTGCCTGTTGTCGTATCCTCAAATCTTGTAACGAAATTTTAACCCGCTTCTCAATGTCGTATCGACTGCAAACTTGGTATACGTATGTCATACTGGTGACAATACTATATTCTATCATTAAAAGTAAAAAAAATATATATTTTAAAACAATCTTTTTTTATATGTTATGTTTCGGCTTGGGTCTAATTGTCCACGCTCAACTGACGTTGGCTGTAATTGACCACGGCCCATTACGTTATGGCAAGCTTCGGGGCCACTTCCATTACTAGTACGGTACATTTCATTAAAGCGTGTTTAAAAAAAAGTATTTTAAAAGATAATTATTACGAATAATTTTAGCGATCGTTTTTTTGTTCTTTCAGCTTGGAACCCGAGCAGGCCATTGCACTACAGTGATTGCTGAACAAGGGGACACGTGCACTCCGATATTCCCTTAATTGGCCTGGCAAGATGCCTGAGCAACACAGCCAGAAGCTGGCGTGGTGTGGCCTCTGCTGTTGTATTGTACGAGTGAAAATGAGGCGCTTTAACAGCGATAGCTTCTCAAAGTTCACTCCGCCTCTTAGCAGTGGTCCGAGAGTGAATGTGTCGAGCAAGATGTCAGCAAACGTGATTCTATATTTAAAAAAAAAAGGCAGTGTTGACTTTTAGGAAATCCGAGATTTTGAAACGCATTTTTCAATTGAGAGACCAGACAGAAGACCTTAACCGTGGGATTAATGGAGTAGACACTGTGTGAGATTCTACGTGCGATTCGCAAAACCCTTGGTGCAAAGTGTTCCACGCATTTAATTGTTTTTATTGACTGGAATTGATAAGCGCTGAATACGCATAAAATGATAAAGAAATCCACCCACTTACAAATCGGAGAGTCCTTTATCTTGGTTCAACATTACCAAACCGCCAACTGCCACCTTTGTACCCTTGATCGTGTACACGTTGTGTCTCTCTGTAGTGTTTTCGCTGGTTCGTGTTGTGTCTCTGTGGTGTGTCTCGGTGTTGTGTTTCTGTGGTGTCTCTGTGGTGTCTCTGTGGTGTCTCTGTGTGGTGTCTCTGTGGTGTCTCTGTGGTGTGTCTGTGTTGTGTCTCTGTGGTCTGTCTCTCTGGTGTCTCTGTGTGGTGTCTTTGTGGTATCTCTGTGTTGTGTCTCTGTGTTGTGTCTCTGTGTTGTGTCTGTGTTGTGTCTCTGTGTGTTGTGTCTCTGTGTTGTGTCTCTGTGTTGTGTTTCTGTGTTGTGTCTCTGTGTTGTGTCTCTGTGGTGTGTCTCTGTGTTGTGTCTCTGTGTTGTGTCTCTGTGTTGTGTCTCTGTGGTGTGTCTCTGTGTTGTGTTTCTGTGTTGTGTCTCTGTGTTGTGTCTCTGTGTTGTGTCTCTGTGGTGTGTCTCTGTGTTGTGTCTCTGTGGTGTGTCTCGGTGTTGTGTCTCTGTGGTGTCTCTGTGTGGTGTCTCTGTGGTGTCTCTGTGGTGTGTCTGTGTTGTGTCTCTGTGGTCTGTCTCTGTGGTGTCTCTGTGTGGTGTCTTTGTGGTGTCTCTGTGTTGTGTCTCTGTGTTGTGTCTCTGTGTTGTGTCTCTCTGTGTTGTGTCTCTGTGTTGTGTTTCTGTGTTGTGTCTCTGTGTTGTGTCTCTGTGTTGTGTCTCTGTGTTGTGTCTCTGTGTGGTGTCTCTGTGTTGTGTCTCTGTGGTGTGTCTCTGTGTTGTGTCTCTGTGGTGTGTCTCGGTGTTGTGTCTCTGTGGTGTCTCTGTGTGGTGTCTCTGTGGTGTCTCTGTGGTGTGTCTGTGTTGTGTCTCTGTGGTCTGTCTCTGTGGTGTCTCTGTGTGGTGTCTCTGTGTTGTGTCTCTGTGTTGTGTCTCTGTGTTGTGTCTCTGTGTTGTGTCTCTGTGTTGTGTCTCTGTGTTGTGTCTCTGTGTGGTGTCTCTGTGGTGTCTCTGTGTGGTCTCTGTGTGGTGTCTCTGTGGCGTGTCTGTGTTGTGTCTCTGTGGTCTGTCTCTGTGGTGTCTCTGTGGTGTCTCTGTGTTGTGTCTCTGTGTTGTGTCTCTGTGTGGTGTCTAAGTACTTGGAAAACGAGTCAATGGGAGTGAATTCCAAAGTTGAGCACGTGACTTCTCCTGCAGTGTGGAGGTTTAAACAAAGTATTGACGAGAGAGGCGGCCTTCCACGCCGAGGCAGCAGCATGGGCGCAGGAGCAGTACACGGTGGCAGCAGCAGCAATAGAGGAGTGTTAAGTGAGACGACAGTGAATCAGTGCGTGATGGATTATAATTAACCACCCAGATTGCATCACGCTGGTGTCTGTCAAGTGTTGTGGGCTCGCAACTCAGTGCTCCACCCTCCACAGGATCACAACTTGAGCTGTGCTTGTGCTTTGTGTGCGAGCAGTCACGCATCGTTCAGTGACGCTCTCCTAGGAGGCGATCAAGATGTGCGGTGAAGGGACGTGGAACGTACAATATGTTTGGTTTTGTTACGTGTTAAAACTCACATTTACGAGTTATCTTCAACCTCAACTCTAACAGACCTTTGGTTCAACTCATTACAATTTCGCCACCTTTGGCTCTCCCGAGTAAACATCAGTTTCACCCTTTCATCCTTTTCATTAAATGTTGTTTATTCTGATAAGGCGGTCACCCGTGAACCACAGTGAAGTGTGTTTTACGCACGGATATCTGAAGCCACGCTTTTAGTAACCAGCATGGTGCAAACGCGATGGAATACATTCACGTGATTGCCATGATTGCTTAAACTTACCTTTGATACTGTGAAGAAAAGATCGTAATTGAGTCACGGTGATTCATGAATTAAGTAGCAGGTGTGTTATTCGTAAAGTAATTACTGCTTTCATGTTTTTTTTTACATTTCTTCTGAAGTTTCAGTTCCCGTGGAATATGTAATTTGTCCGGGTCAAAGAGATTTTACATTGGTGTTATTCTCCATTTAACAGCTATTGCCTTCACAAGCCCACGTAGAGCGCTTTCCCAAACTGCTTGGGCAGTCAAAACATTGAAAGCAACCCAGACCACATCCATTGTGGAGATGGAGCAGTGAAATCTGCACGTGTGCTTCGGGTGGGTCATCACATCGCAGCTCTGTGAGTGGTGGCGGTGGCTTGGGGGATGCCTTCATCCGGCAGTGGATTGACCATGGCTGATGGTGAACCATGAGGTAATGCACATTCTGTATGTACGTTGAACTTATTTCGCACCGTATGTCGCCTTCCCCCCGCACCTCTGATTCCTTCCCACCCCGCACCTCCGATTAGCACGGCCGGCTACGTACGGTGCTAAAGAAGTTCAACGTACGTACGTAGCCAAGCGTGCCGCTCGGTGCTGTGACTCGTTCGTGAATTCCTCACCGTCTGGATTGACCTCCCAGCTTGCGCGCAGCCAAGGAGTGCGACGTCCACCGGCTCCCGGAGCGACGACCACGCTCAGGCTCAGGGAGCGTGGGGCAGAGGGTGTCCACGATGCCGGCGTGAACCAGCTGTGGTGATTGGCCGCTGCTGTGAGACCACGCGGCACACACAGCACACCAACACGGCCCACAGAAATGGGCGGCAGATGCTGCCTGAACACCAATAAAGATAGTGCCACTGAGAGATTGATAGCAAAACAAAACGTGCGTCAATTATCGGCATTGCCTGCCACGTTTCGATACGAAAAAGATCCAGCCGGGTGGGAACCCAGCCATAATAACCGATGCCTTTTGCAAATGAGATGTGCATCGAGGTTGAGAGAATTCGTGGCATTTTAAAGCAATTCGTGGACAGCTTTGAAAATTCAACAGGTAATAATACCCACGACGGATGTTGCGGTGTGTTTTTTCAATGGCCACTTCACAACGGACAAAGACAAGTGGCAATGTCGACCGTGGCATCGGTAAACGGTGGTCCGGTGGGGACTGCGCCGACTGCCAAGGCGAGAGACATAAACTCTGCAGACTAAATCAGGGTCACGATTTGCTCGTCATCATCAGCATCGCCGGCGCTCGAAAACAAATTCAAAATGAAACCCTCGTGATTCAGGTCAAAGCGTCCCTTTCCTGCATTTGAGTAGTTTTATCAGACAGCCAACGTTGATTGCTCATCAAGCAGTACACACATACAAAAAAGGGTATCTGTTTCATGCTTGAACATCGTAACACCTGCTTTATTGCCAGAAAGGGTAAAACCTATTCTTATTTTTAATCGTTTTGGATACTGGCAAAAAGGTCCCATCGATAAAACTGCTCGACCCGAGCTCTGAGTGTTCTGCTACGTGCAGTGTCTCTGTGCTGTTCGCCTTTTGGCGTTCCCTGGTCTGACACTGGTGGTGAGACGAGGCCATGAAGAAGACTGTCTCTGGCGTTGGCCAATCAGTTTCAAGGACAATGCGTGTATTATCAGAGCATGTTTGCTTGTATGTTTTGTCACAAGTATGTGTGGTTAATGCAGACTTGATTCCGTGCAAGAGGTATATAGTTGGTGTTTGAACATCACAACACCTGCTTTATTGCCAGAAAGCTAAAACATATTGTTATTTTTCATCAGTAAAAACAGACTTATTCATTGCGGTTTGCTGCTGCTTTATTTGCCTGTACAAAAATAATAATCATCAAGAAGTAGAGTTCATATCTACAGTGTGGCACTGGAGCATAATTACAGTGTCCACCTAGTGTCCTGATATTCTGATGGGAGGAGGCATTAGACCCCTGAGTTATTCATGAAACTAATTTCAAGGTGTTACATAAAGTCACGGATACTTATAATAAAAACAATACAACGACACACGTGTGTTTTGGATTTGGGTTAAAGCAGAAGATAATTTTTTTATACTCTCAGATTTCAAAAACATGAAAAAAATCTTTCTTAAACAATCATCATGGCAGTAATTATACTGTTTAGAACATCTTTAATCCACGAATTAAAGAGTAATCTGTGTAACCCTAAGTGAGTGTTTTCTATTTGTTCACCAAGTGAGTCATTCCCTCGTGTTGTGGGGAAACCAGAGAGAGGATTTCGTGGCAGGTACCGACCGAGCTGCCTCTCTGTCACCACTTGTGTTTGAGTCTTGTGTAAGTCCACTATTTAGGTCACCCTTGCAAAAGTAGAGTGTTAATATAAATTGAAATTATTTAAACTGACATTTGTTTTTATTGTATCAGGTAAGGCCGACTGAGCTCTTTTGCAGAAGTGACCTTGCTACAAGTGATTACTCAACGAAGTGGCTTAACACGCGGGCATTTGTAGCAGCCAAATACCCTAAACGAGTGTTGTTGATTCTATATGTGGAGGGAAAAACCGGAGGACCCGGATAAAAAACCCACGTGACCACGGGGAGAGAGACACGCAAACTCCAAATATACAGCAAGTATCAGGGTCGGGATCTAACCCACAATCTCCTGTATACCAGGCGAAGTAGTTAACATCTCATAGCCACCTGTCCAGGTTTTACTCGGGCAGTCTGTGCATTGGCGTCTGGCATCTGTGTGTCTGGCGGCAGGAATTGATCCTTTCCCGAGATCTGGTGGCGTTGTGTTGAACTTTATTACATTTTTCTGAGAAATGTCTGGGTTTGGTCTGGGGAAAACTTGGCAGCCTTCTACATGAGTGACATAGCACCTGTAACATTGCTATGATTAAACAAAATCAATGATGTAATTAAGCTTTTTCCCCCTTTCATATCCCTCTTAGAATGATAGTTAAACATAAACGCCGATTTGGCCACGTAAATGCTTCAATATTTTAAAAGATTTGCAAAAATAAAAATCATAGACAGTAATGTATTGTGTAACGTTTGTACTGCATAGCCATAATACATAAACTGTTGGTAATTTCATTACCCGTGTGCCTTATCGCGCAAATGATAAGAAAAGATGTGATCAATAACAGCGTCCCTTACCTTCTCGTATTGTACAAACAATTCCCTGCAAAGCAACACACACAAGCACACACAACAACTTTTTTTTACCGCTTTAAAATGGGCAAATTGAAAAGCTGAGATTTATTGCCAGTCGGAGATCGAAGGCCAAACGCCCCTTTCGCCAACAACGCGCGCCATGCCAAACAAAGCGCGCCGTCCCACGGTGTCGTTTGCGAGCCGGCACGGATGAGTTGCGCGTCGCTGCGCCCCCCGGGGCTTACCGGCTGTGAGCAGTTGCTGTGCCGTAGGTGAACGCCGCGCCCGCAGGCCGTGGCGTGCCCGTGTGGTGCCTGGCGGCGCACGCACAGCGCCGCCAGGCACAAGCGCAGTAGCAGCAGCAGCGGCAGCAGCAGCTGCTGGTGCTGATACTGCTGCGGGTTCCTTTTCACGTTCATCGGTGGCGCGTCGCGGGTGTCGTCAACATTGGCTAAACGCGGGGCGCGCGCAGAAGCCCTGTGGAGTCATTTCACGGAATCAGAGAGGGAGAGGGGGGGAAGCCAACATTGTTTGTTTGTTTGTTGTTTGTTTGTTGTTGATGTTTGTGTTGTCAGTACAGGACACATTCGAGTTACAGTCGGGCCCTCGGCTTGCTTCAAGTCACCTCTTGATATTTCCAAAATATGTTGTCGGATCTTATGTTTAGGAGGCATAAATGCTGTCAAAAACGTATAATTGGCACTCAAGAACGTGCTTATGTGTCAACTTAGATTATAATTTTTGTGATAGGCGCATTCATACGTTTTGTGAATTGCACTTTTTGAGAAATAATCAATGATTGATTGTACCAAAAGATTGCATTTCTGAATTACTTTTGTGACATGCATCTCCATTTAAACTGCACACCGTATCAAAAGCTGTTTCCCTGTGTCCTTCTGTTGCTCAAACATCGCGGTCTACACGGCTAGTGCGAACGGGAGAGCAGTTATTAGCTCCTTGTGATCAAGTGCTTTGATTCGATAACGCCAATCACAAACATTGAGACTCAGTGGTGCCCCAATCATGACACAGAGGTGACTGCTGACGTGAACATCGAGTAGACCTTGCCCTACGAGCGTCGGCAGAGTGTGTCTGGTTACTAAACCCAATCAATGTCAGTGTGTTGAGCCAGCGCCCATAAGATCTCGAGTTCAAACTCTTGGGTTGTCTCCAGGGCACGTAGAGGGTTTTTCTCGTGTGTCGCAGGTTTGACGAGATATGCCAGGGCAGTTTACACTGTGCGTTAAAGTGCCACCGCAGATTTATAATTGCTCAGATTTTCAAGATATAAATTTTCGGGACATGATCCGATAGACATTTTCACCTCATTGTGATTAATGCGACATAATTTTCCCATCGTAACTTTGCAACTGCATTTTGCATCTTCCTCGTATTGTGTTTGTGCTTTGTTGTACTCCCAGTGCATTAAACTGCACTTCGCTCGACTTAGCTCTTCTATTCATTGCAACTTTACAATCTATACCACACTCATGCAGAACATTATTCAACTACTTAAATGCAAGCATACGACGTTTCGATTGCAACACAAGCAATCGTCGTCAGGTATAAATTAAAAAGAAACCTCGTATGCTAGTATTTAAATTCGTCGTATGCTAGTATTTAATTTTATTTATCTTTATACGTGACTTTACCGAAATAACCAAAGAATAATTCCTGCAGTCACGAAAGCTCCAAATTAAGTTTTTACTTAAATGCACACATCTACGACTGCTATGCTGTCAAAAGCTCTATAAATAGTTTTGCAGAGTACCAATTTTATGGATTTATAGCCATTAATGTAGAACTGCATTCAGTGTGCCTTTGTTACTGTATACATATATTTACAGGAAGCAAAATATTGAAACCAATGTGAATGAGCAGCGACGATAATCATGACATAACGATATTCAGCAAAATGTGTGATACGATTTATTGCGGATACAATTTTCCCTCGTCATTCACGAATTTGGCTATGCGCGACTCTACAGTCTACACGAGAGAAAGTGATGGAGATAAAAAGATGAGATAAAATGATGAGATAAAATGATGAGAGATGAAGTGATTCTATGACGTCATGTGTTAATATGATAACGTTCACGTATTTAATATCTTCTTCATTTAAGGCCATTATCATTATCTGCGAAATGTGCTCTTAATGAGCATCTGCGGAACGTGTCCCTCGCGAATAACGAGGGAAATACTGTATTATAATGTACAGGATTGTGTAGCACCGTCTTACCACGGTAATCGTGATCATTGGACCAGCATAGCGACAGGGTTCTAGAAATATTTTTTTGGAGGCCTGGGGCAAAATGCCAAGATGGGGCCCCTCCTCTGCCCTTTCTCAGCCCCCCCTATGAAGCCCTCTTGAATCAAAGGCCCAACGCAAAACGGCCCACCTGACCTCTCGCTGGCTCTGCATGGTACATCAACAACAAAGTTGGGGGTGGGTCGGCACATTTATCTGATCGCAGAGCTGATGCTGTTGACAGGGCTGGGGCAAGTAAGACTGAGAAAGTAACTGAAAACAAAATTAGTGATCCAGCATGATGTCTAACTCAGCTGTCAGTCAGAGTTTCAGCGATGGAATAGAGATTTGTCTTTTTATTAACGACACGGGGGCAAATATATAAAAGATTATGTATAAAAATATATATATTTATATCATGAAGACAGGGAGCTGTCTGAATCATCTTAAATAAAAGACGATGAGTGGCGTTTTCGTGCTAGCAATTATATTAAGCACAGGATAGCGGTGACATTTCACAGCCAACTCTTTGTTATTCAGAGCAATTTGCAACCTCATGGCAGCTCAATGCGAGCGGTTTATCTCCATGAATAGAATCATAAAACCACCAAATATAACTCCCACGAGTGGCGGATATACCAATGATGTTTATATGATGAAAGGCTCAGGCCGATTGTGAATTTGTAGTGACTGTGCTTGTCACTGTATGGTGCCGGGGCTTGCGAAGCCACGGCGGGTAATGTGTTGTCATTACGGGCAGCCCGGGTGACGGGATGTAGTACCACCAGCCCTAGCGGGCCTTGGGTGAGCGCTGGTTCGCGTGGAGGCACCGCGAGCAGTGTGCGGTGCGGGCTCCCGGTGAGGGAGCGAGAGCGAGCATCGGCCAGCCAGGGTGACGTTAGGGCACGATACACTGGTTGACCTGCTGACACGTGACCGGACAATATTGGAGGGGGGCCACCGGTGGACAGGGGCCGTGGGGCGGTCACGTGGTCCAAAGGAGCTTTCGGGAACCTTCGAGAAGGAGCTCGAGGGGCCTGGAAGGTGGGCGGGGCGAAGGGCGAGGCCAGCCCCAGCCCGGGGGGCATATAACGAGGGCTCCGTGAGGAGCTGGGGGTTCTTCGTGTGCTGGTGACAAGAAGATCCACGTCGGGGAGAACAAGCCTCTAGCCACGCGGTCCGGGACCCAGTTTGTGGTCCGGACCGGGATAGCGAAGTGTGTCTAGTTCTGCCGTAGTGTGGTTAGATGGGCATTCGAGACCCGAGTGTAGATCGTGTTGTGTTGCGTGTTAATGCGGAATAAATAGTGTTGCTCCCAAGATAACGTCTGTGACTCAGTTGGACTCACTACACATTGATCATGTTATACAGGGGTCCTCAAACTACGGCCCGCGGGCCACATGCGGCCCACCGAGGACATTTATCCGGCCCATGGTCACTAATTGGGCTGCGCTGGTGAGCACTAATTGGGCTGCGTTGGTGAGCACTAATTGGGCTGCGCTGGTGAGCACTCATTGGGCTGCGGTGGTGAGCACTGATTTGGTTGCGTTGGTGAGCACTGATTTAGCTGCGGCGATGGGCACTCATTGGGCTGCGCTGGTGAATGGTTCAATGGGCCAATTGACTGAAATTGCCCCCCAGGCATAAGGTTGCCAGCCCTCCCCTGGCTGCGCTTGACTGGCTTTCCCTCCCTCAGCTTCATTCGAGCTCATGCACTAAACCACAGACAATTTCAGGAATTTCTGTGTCTGAGCTAAATGTTGACTATGAAGATGTTCTGTACCACACAGAAGTCCGTTGGCTGAGTCGAGGGAGAGTTTTGAAACGTTGATATGACTTACTTCCACAGATTACAGCTTTTCTGCTTTCAAAAAACAAAGAAGTACCAGAGCTCAATGATGCAGAATGGAAATGGCACCTTGCCTTTCTGACAGATGTAACAGAGCTACTCAACAGTTTCAATGTGCAACTTCAAGGAAAGGGGAAGCTCATCTGTGATATGCAATCACATGTCAAAGCATTTGAAGTAAAATTAGGCCTCCTCATCAAACAAGTGAAGGAGGAAAACTTCTGCCATCTCCCCACAACTCAAAATCTGTTAGCGGAAAAACCATTGGTTGCATTCCCAAACAAAACGTGTGGATTCACTGGAAAAATTGCAAAAGGAGTTCCAATTTAGATTTAAAGAGCTTCATCTGAACAGGACATACAGCTTTTCCGTAACCCATTTTCTATTGACATTGAAAATGTGGATACAATTTACCAAATGGAACTGGCTGAACTGCAGAATTGTGACTCTCTGAAAGACGCATTCAAGTCAAGCAGCCTTCATAATTTTTATGCATCTCTCCCCTCTGAGACATATCCTCATCTCAGGAACCATGCACTCAAAATGGCAACCATTTTTGGCAGCACTTATGTCTGTGAACAGACTTTTCCAGAATAAAACATTTAAAATCTCCAACCAGATCTAGACTAACGGATGCACACTTGCATCACTTGTTACATCTAGCAGTGACAAATATGGAACCGGACATTGACCATCTCATTAGCCAAAAGCAGGCCCATAGTTCCCATTGAAATACCGGCAAGTTTGTTGATTTAACTTTACTTGTTCTTCATTTCAAATATTGTATTTGTTCCCGTTTTCTTTCTTCACTTCAAAATAAGATATATGCAGTGTGCATAGGGATTTGTTCATAGTTTTTTTTACTATAGTCCGGCCCTCCAAAGGTCTGAGGGACAGTGAACTGGCCCCTTGTTTAAAAAGTTTGAGGACCCCTGATGTAATAGGTAGGCAAAGGTGCATCCTTACAATTTCCTGTTTACACCACGGCTGGCAGAAGGGCCTCCACAGCAGGGAGCTCTGTAAAGCCCTTATAGAGGGTAATTTGGCCTACTCTTCCACGCCGGTAAAACATCTTGGAAGAGGTGGGAAACCCGACGTTTACCCCACCGCACGCGACCTATACCTATTGACGATCCCAATTATACTGCTGGGTGGACAGAGGCTGGAGGAAACTAAAAACGTCTTTCCCATTGCTAAAGCTGCCACTCCGGGAAATCGAACCTTCGACCTCTGGATGGCGAGTCCAGTTTGCAGAGCGTCACGCCGCAGCGGCATCCCGCGTGCAACGGGGAATAACGAAAGTCCCACACTTGTCTTGACATTGGGCAGGCGAGATCAATGGTTTCCGCGATGGGTTCAGTGGCTTGGTAAACACACGTG